CCTTTATGTTTCGAAACTTCCTGAAGGCAGGTAGCTGAATTGTTTGGACATCACTAAGTGCTTAAATAACTACATTTCACATCAGATTTTACAGGAAACAGTCACTATGCATCTAAAGAGAAAAAAGAAAACAGAAAGAATACTTTTAATTCAAAGTATAAGGACTCTGCATCTGTCAGTACATTTAGTCAAATTACCCCATTTTCCTCATGAATATATGTATACACTATCATTCTTGTCTAGGTTAACCAGACAAGTAATTAGGCCATTTTGTTTTTTCACTGTGCAACCTCTAGTTTAGTTTGTTATTTAAGTAAGTAAAGGACATAAATTATCTTCTTAGATATGTATGTTTTACTTTCACTTCTTCCATTTAGAAAATGGTAACTGATCGCTACACATATGAAGCTTTACTTTTAATCAAATTGGCCTGTGCTCCAGAGAGCCAAAGACTCTCTAGAAATCAAGCAGTGAAGAATTCAAAAATTATCCTGTGTTCCATTTTACCCCAAATATAATGTCCATCCTTGTCGCACCAAGTAAAATCAAGTAAAAGTGGTCACTGCTACAATATTAAATTATATCAAATGCAAGTGGAATTTATCTAGAGGTTACTTGTAGACAGTTCTTAAGTGGCATCAAACATTTTGTAGTGATCGGGCAGAAACAAAGTCAGCCCAACATTTACTAGTAGATTTAATAAGGTTTAATGATGTTTGTTGTATACAAACAACTGCTTGCAAAGCATATATTAAGGAATGATAAATCCCTCCACCCCCCAAAAAGCCTTCTGCTTTTTACTGTGGTACTCTAATTCAGTGATCCATGTTATAAATATGTCTTTACACTTGTTTCAGTGCCTTAAGAAAATCTGTGTAGCTGGAAGAAGAACAGTAAGCAAATGATGTTTCACTGAAATTTTCTGTTGCTGCTATCTAGCCAAGAAATACTAGAAAACCAACATACTGCACTAAAATAATCACTATTTGTGATCCTAATTCTATGATAAGTCAAAGTGATTGTTCTAGGATAGTATGTTCCAAATACTTAGTTTCTAATTAAAACAGAGGGTGCCAATACAGTAACTATGACATACTATTCGAAATCTATGAAAGCTTAAAAGTGACTGGTAAAACCAAGAACAACATGAAAATTTAATCTGAAACTAATCTAGCATTTTCAATGCTGAAAAGGTATCTTAAAATAGTAATTTGTTCCAGGACTTTATCTTACTAATACACACCTGGTAGATTTTACCGACCACTTAAAAATCTGCCTCTATTCTATCCAGTAATCAGCTTTATTTTTCCCAGATGTAGTAACTGCACCAACTAATTTCCTGATGAAAAGGATTAATCTTTGTAGCAAAAAAGAGGAAAGTAAGTATACAATGGGTATTTTGAAAAGGTCATTGAACTTGTTGCAGTTAAGATTTGACATGCCTGAACTTCAAGGATCATACCCCAATCTCTGATGTGACCAAAACCTCCTAAGTTAAAACAACCTACCTTCTTTTTGAAATTGCTACATACTATATGAAGCAAAACCAAGATACATTAAGTATATATAGGAAATTTTTAAACCCATCTCTCTGATATGTAGTTGTCAGTTTCCACATAACAACTATGGAGAAAGGTGCGCTATATATGTAAGTGATAGTGCCCTAGTAGAAGACTATGAAATTAAAATGTAAGGTTACATTACACTATTGCTTCATACTTTTTAAACAAAGATTCACATATAAAGGGAGGTCAGAGTACTGAAGTGAACTGCTTTCAGTCCTCTCTCTTTGAAGGTTAAATCATGTGCAATAGACCCCGATTTCTGAAAAAAGCTACTATTTGAATAATTATTTTGTATATGAAAACTAACAACATATGGGACACCATACTTACAAAGTAGTGTGCCAAGGGATCCTGTATGTGTCCTTCTTGAAATGAACTGGCAAGGACACCAACTTCTAATGTAATTCAAGAAAGCATAATAAAAGGCAGTCTATGAGAATAATGAAACATCAGACAAAGTAGGTGTGGTTTTACTTAACTAGGTAAGCTTTAAAGTCTTCCTTTGAACTTCTTCACATAGGAATGCATATGAGTAACATGACAGGGGGCAACACTGAGGAGACTGAATAAGGTGAGGGACAAAACAACAAGGCATCCTTAGGTAACAGCAAAACTCCCACACTGGTGGTGTATAGGTAAGAAAGAAAAAAGAGGTGACCGTGCAGCTCTCAACCACTTCAAAATTTCAGTGCTTTATATATTAAGCAAAGTCCTTTTTGATTACTTTTTTCCTATATCCACTAGAATTGAGGGTATTTAACATTCATACTAGTCAAATAAAACTGTGCAATAATAATTAATTTTCAACTACAGTGATAGCACATGAAGTTGCTAGCTCACAAGAACGCATGTAAGAAGCCTGAAGCACGACTTTTCTATCACGGTACAGCTTTGGAGGGAAAAGCTCATGTCTGATGAATTCTTTTGTATAAAAACATTTTTTATCAGCAGCATGAAATTAAATTTTTATGAAAAATAAATAGAAAAAAAAAATATTACTGCATATATCATCTCTTTTATTTTTATCAGAACGCAGACATCTGTATCAATCGACAGCAGCTTGCATATGCAAAAGTAAAACAATTCAACTGGTTTTAAATCCTGGCAAGCATCTGAGCTTTGTGCTGGTTTCCTGCTGAATCCTAGCTCAAAATAGCTGCCAATTGCAATTTGCTTAAATTAGTGTGGAGACACAAGTTTGAAAATAACATGAGGAGTAAAATCTCCAATGTGAAAGCAAAATGCTTGGTTGCAAATGGAAGAATCACAGGAATAAGATTTGATAATCTGACACATCTGTATGAACCATATATGCTTAAAAAACCCACGTACTATTAAAGAATAACTATAACACCTTTAGGTGAATTTAATTCGGCTAAAGCATTTCAATTCACATACATAGTCTCCTCCTGAACAAATAAGAAGTTAACTATAAATGCCCCTTTATTTCTACATAAATTTAATTCTGTGCATTTCTTAATTAGCTTGAAGAAGAGGCTCAGAATTCTTTTTATTTTTTTTAACATTAAATCTTTTAATCTTTTGAGTTTGCTGTTATTAGACTACATATTACATAAAAGAAAAAAAACTTAACTAGAAATTCTTAAGTGGGAAAAATACAATTAGAAGAAACTATCTACAATTGTCTTGTGTTGAGGATAATCAAAAGCACAATTGCCCCACATACACCTAACTCGACAGAGAAAAAAAGCATCAAAACTACAGATTTTAAATGTATTCAGAAATGTGGTGAGGGTTTGGTTTTTTTTTTTTGTCAAGAGTTCAGTTACTTTTCCTGTATAATAAAAAACCCTTTTTTTTCCCCAAAGAAATAATTCACAAGATTTAAGGTAAAAATTTCAAGGAATTAGTACTAATTCCTGGTGTGATGTAGCACAAAATGATTTACTGTGCATCTGATAAAATGCAATCTCTTTAAGGGTACATAATGAAATTATCTAGATTAAAGAATGGTAGATTGGAATATTTGGAAGCCGAAGGTTTTTGTATCATTAATGAAGACTAACTCATTTCTATCATCACACTACTGTCACAGTTCCTACTTCAGACCTTAAGTACCAAATCAAACCTACATGCTCTTTCCAAGCTCTTATGAAAAAGAATGGAAACTGGGGCTTTCCAAGCAGGCAAAACAAAGAAAGAAACAAAAATATAAATTAAAAGACCCCCCACCCTATATCAAATCTTACGTATAATTTTCTCATGCTATGATTCCAGCATTGTTTTCCTCCTCACTTGATCATTCAAAAAAAAACCAAAACCAACAAAACCCACCACCAAACCCCACACCAAAAAACACTAACCAAAAAAAAAAATTAAAAAAAAACCTCAACAAAAAAACAAAATCAACCAGCCAGTAAAAAAAAGCCACCCTCTTGCCCCCTCCAAACCACAAAAAATCCCACAAAAACCACAAACAGATTTTGGAACATGTCTTCACAACGAGCGTTCAAACTAAATTTCTATGTCTTCCATTCAAAGACACAAAAATCCCACAAGCTGTTTTTATACCTGCATATGGGTTATCAACATGACAATGAAACAGAGTATTTATTTCAAAGGTAACATAAAAGTCATAGCAATGGTCATGGATATGTTAAGGAAATATACTTAAGTAATTTCCTTATGCTGCTGTTCTTCCTCAAAGAGGGTTATTATTCAAGCTTCTACAAAAAAGAGAACTACGGTTCACTGAGAAAAGGTGTAATTAATGTCTTCAACTGTACTGCACAAACATATCAAGATAACATTTTTTTTTGTTCTTTAGATAAGTCTCATTAAGAGTGTAATCTTAACACTCATATAGTTCAACTGTACTTATTTAAAGTGCAAAGACTAAAGAAAATAAACACAAGAAATGTCATTATACTTTGGAATCCCAACATTTCCATAAAATACATGGGTATACAAAGCACCTCATACACAGTCATCAGTTTCATAACATGAAAATATGCTTAGAGTAACACCACAGCAAAGTGAAGTCATACATGGAACATGTATTTTCCATGCTCCTCTTTAGAAGAGTTCTGGTTTTGGTACCATATATGACGTTTCCATGTATTTTGACAGTGAATTTCCAAAAAAGCAGCTGATTGACCTTTCCTATCAGTTGCAACAAAAGGAAATAGAAGAATAGCTTAAAAAAAAGAAATCACCCACCCATACACGGAAATTTGGAATATTCCATTGATAAAGTAAAAACTGTGAAAATGTTAAACTTGGTTCACTAAGTCTAATTGTAGAGGGCCAACACAAAAATGATTCAGTAATTTTCTGAAATGTAACTACTCAACTATGAGGTAGAACTCTTCAAGCGCTAAAATCTGAAGATTAACAATTACACGTATGTCAAAAAATTAAGAGGTATGTTAACTTTTGAGATGCATCCATTCAAGTAAGTTTTGTAACATTTACCTGTATCCAAGCGCTTTACAGGGGACTCATCATCAACCTCAGAATCTCCACATGCACTCCTTGATCTTTTCCTTGGGTGCAGAAGTGTCTCCAACCTTGGAAGGACTACAGACAAAAAGGTTTTGGTCCCTAGCTGTGGAGAAGTTGGCTGGGTTTCAGTGTTCTTTGCAGACTTTTGGGGGCTTATACTTTTCGATTTGCAGAAGAGAATGGATGTACGTCTGTTTACATCAGTTGATGACTCAGCTACAGCAGAAACAGTCGACTCATTGAGATTACTGTCAAGTAAGTGTTCTGGAGTGTGTCCATTTATTTCTTTCTGAATGGAAGTGCTATATAATTCATTATCAAATTTTACTCTTTTGTAAAGCTTACTCTGCTCTGGATTGAGTTCTACTGGTTTGAGGGTTGGTGGTTCTGAATTAGTCTCCAAGTTTGAAGGAAGAGGTAATGCATCTGATGGTTCAAGTTTAGGGGGAGATTTATCTCCTGAAAAAATTATAAATAGAGTGTGATTTTTGAAAACCTGTAGTTATAAAGTCTATTATAAAACTCACTATAAATGTGCAGCCCACCAAATAAATTGTTGTTTGGAAACAAAGCATAACATTTTAAAAACAAACCTTGTCTAGCAACAATCTATCCTAGTTAGTAGTTCCTACTTTTATACTGGGAATGTAGCAGGGAAAGAAAAGTAGGTGTTTATAATTGGTGTTAACAATTTACACCTGGATAAATACTTTTTACTTCTCATGCAGTTATGTTAGTTTCATTAACTAAAAACTAAAAAACCTAATTTTTAAACAGAAAGTTGGGGTGGTGGATGATTATCTGTTGAATGCAATTACACTGCCATTCAAGTAAAATTTCTGGTAATATACATTTTTATCTATTTCCCTTTATCAATTATCAGATAACCATTTAAAAAAAGAAGTATTTGTAACCTGATCTACTATTGAGGGCTAAAACACGTTATAAATTTATAGAAAGGTGAGATTTACAAAGCCGTTTTACAGCTGTGGATGAAAGTTTTATGTACCAAAAAGAAAAATAAATTTAAAAGGGGGACAAAAAACCCCAACCCCCCTAAAGTCCTGCAGCTTGATTAGCCACTAGGTTGGCAAATACACACTTGACAATGCAGACTTGATAGGAGAAATCAGAAAAACCACCCTCTACCATTTTTTCTTCCTTTTTTTTTTTTTTTTTAATTTTTATTTTTAAAATTTTTTTTTAAACATGATCATTTCCCAGTAAATTTCAGTAATTCCATGTTGGGAAAAGACAATGGAGATACAACTGTGAGCATATAAAACTAATTTCTGTTTTTCATCCCAAGTGATGGGATAGAAAATAAACGTTCTACTGTTGAAGATTTCCAAATACAAGCAGAAGGATTCCCTAACCCATAATTTTCAACTCAGAAAGACGTTAAAACCTTCTTTCTAGCTTCAAAAAATATAATTTAAAATATATATTAATAACAACAAAGAAGATGCTTGTTCTAGAATTAGTGTATGAGATCGACATAATATTTACATTATCATATGAAATTTTGAAGTTTAGTTAATTTTTCTAAGCTACCTGAAAAAAAGGTGACAAAAACCAAGAGTTTAAGCCCTGTATCTGTAGTTGATGAAATATCATCTCTATATTGCTTTGGTTTTGGCTCAGCAATGCTTACTTGGAAATCAATGACTTGTAAAGTGCAGAAGAATCTCTGCTCCATTGTTTAATCAAACGATAGCATAGTTCATATTAAAAATATATTGTTAAAATGAAGCGTGACTATGCTCACATCCTTTGAAGGCATCCAAGAATTAGAACCAGTAAATAATATTTCAGGAAGACATTCAGGATGACATTTGCAGTCAGATAAGCACATTTAAGTACCACCAATTTAAAAGCCTGCAGTTTAGAATGTCCAAGGTAACTGTTTTTTTGAACAAATTCTGACTTTCTTACAATTAATCAGAAAATATTCACAAAAAGATTCAGGAACAGAATAACACTTGAGAACTATTTAAACACTAAAACCAAAATTTCATGGGGTTATTCCAGTACCATATTTTTCATACAATCAGAAACTGTAAACAGAATTTCAAGGGGGTAATTTACAGCTCTTCTCAAGCCACCTCCTGCAGAGTTCCTAAGCACAGGATTCTACTACTTTCCTTATCTTTCTTTTTGGCAATTTATTTTTTTTACTCCTCAAAGTACCTTCCATTTCAGATTCGAAATTTGAACTAATGACTATTACTCTTCACTAGATCATAATTGTAATAACAATGCAAATCAACTCCGGATCATGCTCTTCATTATGCTTTTTTTTAAAAAGCACATTGTATATATAAGAAAACAGCTACTGCTCGCTTTTGGACTATTGTTTTCAGAACAGCTGCAGTGAAAGGCTGTGTCATAAAAATGTTAAGCTACAAATAAAAATGTTAGTGTATTCATTACCTGCCAAAAACTACATCCCTAAAACCTGTAGTCAGTAGCATCATCACTTGAAAATTAAATAAAAAGAACAAAAATTTTTTTTAAATTACATGTTTTAAGAATACTTAACAGCCTCAAAACAACATAAGCATGCTGATTCACGTACACTTTTTCTATTATTGTTGTTCAAATCTCAAGGAAGTTATACGTTTGAAAAACATTCTCTTAGTCACACTAAGAATTAAACACCAAGTTTCTGTCTGAATGGCAGTTAAGGACAGTCATTTTATTGATTCTACCTTTCAAAAATTTTGATAGCATCAAGCTGCACCAGACACAGACTGTTTTATTTATTATCATGCTTCCACTTTCCCTTAAGCTTTTTCCTCCTCCCATTCAATGCATTATTTAAAATGAACACGTCTCTAATTCTCCTAAGGAAAAATAGGCTAGCTTTTTAGAGAAGAGATGACTGTGAAACAAACTCAATAAAACTTTTTTTTTTTTGAGACTAGATTTTCTTTGCATCATTTAAAAATTAGCAATAAAGACCTCAGTAACTGATTCAAAAACTAAAAATGCAAATACGATATTCAACCGAAATATAAAATTAGGCCTTTCTAGTATATTGCTCTTATTAAGATCGACCAGAATTAGCCAAGAGTAGATGCAGTTCTGAGACCAATGTTTTGAGGAAGAAGAGAAGCGCAAGGGGAAGGGCTAGTTACATATGGCTGACTAGATTCTACAACATGAAGTTTGTTAAGTCCTACCAATAGCTTTATTCAAAAAAAAAAAAAAAAAAAAAAAAAAAATTTAAAAACCCCAACCCAAACCAACCCTCCCCAGACTGGAGTAGAGAATAAAAAAAGCTACAGAAGACAGTATTAACAGCCAGAGTTTTAAGCACCATTGACCTAGGATCACATGATTCCTAATACATATTTTGGCATTTAAGTGGATTTCTGAAAGTACAAAGATGTTTTCCACTCAGGCATTTATGATACCTTTTCGTATGAGATTGTTTGTACTTTTGTTTCTTAACACCTAAATTTTTTAAAAGCACTGCTAACTGTGAAAAATAACAGAAGGAGATCTTTTTTAAAAAGATCATTCTCATATTCTTAAAATATCTGTTGTGATTAAGTGGCTATTTGTCCATTTAAAAATTCAATATAATATTCGTTTATTAGACTCTTCAATTCACATAACTAAAGCACCTGACTGAAGAGGTTTAGAACAGTACTGATTAAAACGTAAGATTATAACAAATCTTACCTTCTTCTTCTCCGTCTTGTTCTAATGCTGCACTTTCTTCTTCAAAACTTCCAATACCTGATTCTATTTGAGGAGCCTGGCTGTGTTGCTGACTTAGTTTGTTGCGAATAATGCTGATTTCTTTCTTTAACAGCTTTGCTCTTTTGCTCCTTGACCCACTGGATTTCATTGCACAGGTGAGATCAAGTTTTTCTAGCAACTCTCTCAGCTGTTCTTCCAAGGACATATGGGCTCTGTTTGCAGGATTCAGTAACCTATCCACTGAAGTCAAAATATGTATAATTATTTTCGTGTTACTGTTTCCTAGAATATTTCAAAGAATAATAATACCAACAGGAGGAAAAAAAAAAAACAAACCTCACTTGACAGAATTAAAAAATGTCATCAAAAAGCTACTTAGATTACAGTTGTAGTAGCTTCACAGTTACCAGTGCAGAAATGTTGAAATTAATTCTTGCTATATAATCACTACTCTTCTTGATCAGCATTTTGCTCAATGAAACTAAGTAGTAGAGCAAAGAATTAAAAGGTCAGAAAGGAAGACCTAGTTAATCCTTCCCAACCTAACAGATGATTTCCTTCTTGTCAAAGGGAAGAGCAAGATTATGGTTATAAAATACATGTGTTAATTATTCTCCTTTACTGCTAAAAACTCAGAAAACCAACGTGTGTATGTCAAAAGAAGTACTTTAATTCCTAGTATTACAAGCGTGTTTCCTTCTTTTAATTCAGTAGGTTATTTAAAAATGTGCTTAAGTTTATGCACACTGGTAGTCATTTTCCATGACTTACAAACACATACAATCATGTGAAAGAAAGCACTCAATTGAAAAACCTTTTTCGTGTATCTTGTTAAATGAGGCTCTGGCATTAACAAAATCAGAATCTGGATAACACTGTTTTCTAATGACAGATCTAGTAGAATACAAACACTTGAATCCTTCAAGCAATGTTTCTAATGAGGGGGGCAGAATCTAGTCAGCAAACTCAACTGCAACCATCTTAAACATCTGTATGGAATGTACACACTGTGTGTAATGAAAAACACTTACAAATAATCCAAAAACATCTTACCATCTTCCCAAGAGAAAGGCTGGGGTGACTCAAGTTTAGGCCGTTCAGGTAAGTGCATTCCAGTTTCATTATTATAACCGATTCCTTCAGCATCTCGCCTAGCTTGCCTGAGAACTACACCTCCTTGATCTCTTAACCGCACTGCAGCTCTATAGAATATTGTATCTTTTGCATTGTATTTCATACAGTTATCTATGATAAGGTTGAAGTCTTCTTCAAACTCACTGAGGTTTTTATAGCCTTGAGCATCTAACCGTTTTCGCATGGTAGAGAAATCCATAGGATGTTTAATATGATCCAAATAGTCTGGAACCTTTGAATAAATATTTAAAATGTGAATAGGTAAAATTATCTTATTACAAACAAAGTAACATTAGCTATTAACTGATCCATGTTTTTTAACTTAATTTGTAATACTTCAAATAAAGAACTTCAAAATATAGCTTAGAGTTGCACACCTTCATATTGCAAATGTTTTTATGCCAACAGAAGTTTACATATTACAAGATTCTGCATCTTAGGCAACAAGTTGGAGCTCTACTACAAGATGCTGAAACTACATGTTTTTATGTATATATTATATTGTATCTATGCACACGCATACTCATAAATGTATGTATTTATACATATGTAGGCAAATGTATAATATATACATGTGTATGCAGTATATGCAAGCATACATATATATACAATTTGTACACATATATGTCTACATGTTATTTATACACATGTGTTGTATATGTACATATGCACACATACACACACACATACACTGTCATTCTAGTTTCCCAGTGAACAGAAAGGAGTATCACCTGCAAGAACAAAGTATCCACATTTCAATTTTTAGACACCCTTTGAGTTTGCTTTATCAAATAATCTTATTGCAAAAGATCAACAGGTACACATGTTATTCTCTGGAAGTATTTCCCAGAAATTATTTTGGTATATGAGCATAAATAGACTTTCATAGCAGTAAGTCATGACTCAAAGTAAATTTTCAGAACAGAGATTAAAAGGTAACACTGCTCCCTACTCTGCATACAATGATTTGTTTCTTGTACTTAAATAATACCAAGTCATACCTAACCACAAGGAAATACAGCTTAAAACATACCTCTTTAAGGTTCACTGGCTGAGCAAATATACGGGCAGAATCCTTTTCCTGCAGCTGATCCAGAACTGATCGCAGAAGTACAGTGAATGGAGTAAGCTGAAGTTCCATAGCAACCTGCTCAATTTTGACCTAAAGAAGTAGTAATTATCCAGTTGAGCACTTTTCATTAGGACACTGTTTTAAAGTTGTTTTGCAGCAACAGTAAAGTACTTTAGATATGACACACAATAAAAATATATTTAAGTAAATGAGTTCAACGCTGCTTTCAATATCAGCTGGCATTTGTCTAACATATTTTCAGCTGATAATGAATTTAGTTTCATTTTTTAACTGTACTTCTTTTCTTTGAAAATAAGTTACATAAGAACAGATTTATAGTTTGCCAACAATGTGAAATTAAGAACAAGAATTTAAAGATAACATGTTTAAAATTAAATTTCAGTTGTAGTTCCATGTTCAAGGTGTAAAAAGAGAATGCAATGAACATTTACAGGCTACATAAGACCAAAACAAAGAGTAATTTTAAAGACAATGTTCCATGTAAATTCCAAGAAAATAATTTTTGAAAAAAAACAATTAACAGCATCTTCAAACACGTGATCATCCTTCAGAATTTTCACCATTTTTGACAATATTACAACTGCTCTACAGTTTTATTTTTAGGCCATTTAAACAGTTAAACATTGAAACAGTCTTGTTCTGGCAAAAATAAATTCTTAATGACACATTAATGGTGTGTGTGTATACATATAAAATAAACGTGTAAACAAAGTATACACACACAAACAGACATGCATAAAACACGTGTATAAATAATAATACATAATACATGTGTATAGCAAGTGATATGTGAACATACAGGAATGATGCATGTAATTCCAGAAAGCACTAAAGAATCACAAACTGTATTAGCTTGTAAAGAATGTTCACAGGTTCAAACAGGTAAAAATGAAATGTTTCTTTATACAAATAAGGACAATTAAAGACCCGTAAGTGCAAACATTTTGCTTTCACAGTTTTCAGATCAAATGTTGTCTTTCTGCATTATCACTTCCTCAGCTCTCCTCTCCCAGCAATGTTAACTCTAGAATGTCATAGGGCTTAGGCGCAGCTTTTTTTGGTAACATTAAAATAAAAGTGCTACTCAATATAAGCACATGTATTGGGGAAAATCTGAAGAGATCAAATATTCAGAAACCAATTGTCTTTGCAAGTCTAACAGAATGGTTTGCTAAATAGTTTCTCTACACCAATGCACACAGCATGGGCAACAAACAGGAGGATTTGGAGGCCACTGTGCTATTAGAAAGCTACGACCTAGTTGCCATTACTGAAAGCTGGTGGGACAAATCCCATGACTGGTGTGGCTATCAATGGTTACAAGCTGTTCAGAAGCCAGGCAAGGGAGGAGGGTGGAGGGGTTGCCCCCTACATCAAGAAATGGATAGATTGTGAAGAGCTGTCTGAAGAACAGACCAAGGTAACAAAGGGAACCTTGTGGTTGGTGTTTAACTAGAGGCTGCCAGATCAAGGCGGGGGGCCTACTGATGAAGCCTTCTTACTCCACCCACAGGAGGTATCATGCTCACAGACTCTTGTCCTGCTGGGGGGCTTCAACCACCCTGGTATCTGCTGGAAAAGTAGCACAGTGAGCTGCAGGCAATCCAGGAGACTTCTGGGGTGCAGGATAACCTCTTAAACTAGCTAAGAGACAGCCCTACAAGAGGGGATTCAATACTGGACCTGCTGGTCATCAATACAAGTGAGCTAATCGGAGACATCAGAATTGGAGGCAGCCTGGGCTGCAATGATCATGCACTGGTGGAGTTTGCAGTCCTGAGGGATATGGGTCATGCAAAGAGTAAAGTCAAGACCCTGAATTTTAGGAAAGCAAAATTCCAGCTGTTCAAGGAGTTAGTCAGTAGGACTCCCTGGGAAACTGCCCTCAGGGACAAAGGAGCAGAACAGAGCTGGCAGATCATTAAGGACACTTTTCACAGAGTACAAGAGCTCTCGATTGCCAGGTATAAGACATCAGGATAAGAAGGCAAGTGACCAGCATGGAAGAGTCAAGACCTGCTGGTCAAACTAATGGTCAAGAAAGAAATGCACAGGCAGTGGAAACAGAGACAGGTATCCTGGGAAGAGTACAGGGACACTGCCTGGTTGTGTAGGGATAGGGTCAAGAAGGCCAAGATGCAGCTGGGGTTGAACTTGGCAAGGGACACAAAGAATAATAATAAGGGCTTCTACAGGTATGTCAGCTGGAAAAAGGTCAGAGAAAGTGTAACCCCCTCAATGAACATGACTGACAAACTGGAAATAACAGAAAAGGAGAAGGCTGAGGTACTCAACTTTTTTGTCTCAGTCTTTACTGCTAACCTCTCTTCCCATTTCTCTCAAGTGGATGGATCTCAAGGCAGGGACTGGAGGCATAAAGTCCCTCCCACCGCAAGAGATTAGGCTCAAGACAACTTGAGGAACCTGAACATGCATAAGTCTATGGGGACCTTCTGAGATGCATCCCACAGTCCTCAGGGAATTGGCTGATGTAGTTGCCAAGCCATTCTTCATGATATTTGAAAAGTCATGGCAGTCAGGTGAAGACCTTGGAGACTGAAAAAAGGGAAACATTGCACCCATTTTTGAAAAGGGTAGGACGGAGGACCTTGGGAACTACTGACCCGTCAGCCTCACCTCTTTGCCTGGGAAGATCATGGAACAGATCCTCCCATAAGCTAAGTTAAGGCACATGAAGAACAGGAAGGTGATTCCAGACAGCCAGCATGGCTTCACCAAGGTCAAGTCCTGTCTGACCAACCTAAAGGCCTTCTATGATGGAGTGACTACATCAGTGAACAAGGGAAGATCTATGGATGTCATCTGTCTGGACTTCTGTAAAGCCTTTGACGTAGTCCCCCACAACATTCTTCTTTCTAAACTAGAAAGATATGGATTTGATCGGTGGACAGTTTGGTGGACAAGGAATTGTCTGGATGGTCACATCCAGGGAGTACTGGTAAACGGCTCAGTGTCCAGATGGAGATCAGTGATGAATAGTGTTCCTCAGGGCTACATACAGGGGCCAGTATTGTTTAATATCTTCATCAGTGAGACAGACAGAGGGATCAAGTGCACCTTCGGCAGATTCGCAGACAACACCAAGCTGAGTGGTGCAGTTGACATGCCTGAGGGATGGGATGACATCCAGAGGGACGGGGACAAGCTCGGGAAGTGGGTCCATGTGAACCTCATAAGGTTCAACAAGGCCAAGTGCAAGATCCTGCATATGGGTCAAAGCAATCCCCAGTATCAATACAAGTTGAGGGATGAAGGGATTGCAAGCAGCCCCGCAGAGGAGGACCTGGGGGTATAGGTGGATCAAAACCTGGACATGAGTCCTTAATGTGCACTCACAGCCCAGAAAGCCAACCACAACCTGGGCTGCAACAAAAGAAGCGTGGCCAGCAGGAGGAGAGAGGTGATCCTACCCCTCTATTCTGTTCTCATGAGACTCCAACCAGAGTACTGTGTTCAGCTCTGGAGTCCTCAGTACGGGAAAGACATAAACATGTTGGAGCAGGTCCAGAGGGCCACAAAAACGATCACAGGGATTAAACAACTCTCATACGAGGAAAGGCTGAGGGAGTTGCAGTTGTTCAGCCTGGAGAAGAAAACGCTCTGGGGAGATCTTATAGCAGCCTTCCAGTACTTAAAAGGGAGCTACAGGAAAGGTGGGAAGGGACTCTATCAGGAAGTGTAGTGAGAGGATGAGGGGTAATGGTTTTAAACTAAAAGAGGGTAGACTCAGACTAAATATAAGGAAGAGATTTTTTATGATGAGGTTGGTGAAACACTGGAACGGGTTGCCCAGATTGGTGGCAGATGCCCTGTCCCTGGAAACATTCATGGTCAGGTTGGATGGGGCTCTGAACAACCTGATCTAGTTGAAGATGTCCCAGTCCAGCCCCCTGCCATGGACAAAGTGACATTTAAAGGCTCCTTCCAACCCAAACCATTCCATGATAATTTCATATATTTTAAACAGTTTGCATGACTGTGTGCATGCATCTAGGTTTCCTGATCCTATATGAGGATTAAAAGACAAACACTGTAGCCTTTCTATTGCAAAAACTGTGTGAGAATAGTTAAATTGTTTTTCCTTCAGAAAAGTTTCACCAAATTAAAAGGAACTCCATTTACCTGTTCTCTTTTTAATTTTTCACGCTTACGTATAAGTTCAATCAACAAACGGGCTCTTTCAAGATCATGGCGCAGCCTTTGCCAGTACTTCAGTTTTTCTTTTAAGGCTTGCATTTCTTCATCATCTTCTCTCTAAGAAAAGAATCAAAAGATTTTCATTAAATGAAAAACACTAACCTCTTTTTATAAAGTAGTTTTATGCAATTACAGAACATATTCACATAAAAGGAGAAACTACTGCCTTACAGTTACAGTGCTTGGTCACAAGCTTCATACTGCAACAAAAGAAAACCTCTGGTTGGGGTACCTTCTAGAACTTCTCAAACATCGAGCTGAAAACAACATCTATAACCTGGAAAGCAATTCTATGATGAAGGCCATTTCCATCAGAAAAAGTAATACAACGAACAGCAACCTAGCAGTATAACAAGCTGCAAAATAATATTCTGTATCTTCACATCAAAATCCAAACCAGGTGAACATCGTCAGCTTCTTCAGAAACTCAATCCTGAGAGACACAAATTTTTGTTGTGCTCAACACAGTCTACCTCCCCCACACCCAAAAGAATTAGGACACATTGTAACAGAACAAAATCATGATGACTTCTGAGGACAGGAAATGAAAAGCAGTTTGTTGAATAATACAGTAACTTCAAATGGTACTGCAAACAGCTAATGCAGTAATACAACCTTTCAGTGAATGGATATAATAATTTAATTCACACATTTTTAGGAAGAAGTAGTGTTTAAACACTTGCAGTATTTAGTTTGATTTGTATATACAGAAAAAAAGAGCCTTTCATGTTTGCTTCTACTATTTTTCATACGAAAAAGGAGGATATTACCTGTACTATTCAGATGGTATTAGTAATTTACCAGAAAGAAGGCCATAAAAGAGTAGAAGTCCTGATATTAGTACCAAGCACATGAAAGAAATATCTGCTTTGGATAATGACTACATTTTAAATGATTATTTTATAAAATAGTCTCAGAAAGAGATCCAAAGCTTTGTATGCTTGCTGTAACTAGCATAATGCAATATTTACTTGATAAATAATCATCATGTGGATTTTTCTTAAAAACTAAAAGAAAAAACTCAACAAATTCCATAAATTATATAAAAAAAGAGAAGACAGGAATAAAGAAAACTGACTAAGCAGATGAATAACCAGCATCTTAAATTGTTCCACTCCAAGCAAAAACCTCCTTAACAGAAGGATAATTTATAAATATCACAGGTCCTCTAAAGGAAGCTTGTGCAATTTTTCAGACAGAAGGTTCTAAAAATAGAATTGCAAAAACTGGCACTTTAAAAAAATATCTAATAGTTTGTGAGTGCTATGATTCTATGATTTGCATTGTATTTTATTACTTTACACACTTTGTAAAAGTAAACGCACGTTCCTGTGAAAGCTATGAAGTTAGTTTTAATCGAATCTCTGACTTCCTGAAGTTGAAAATCCTTAACTATCAACTCTCTGTATTACAATATATCAATCTGGAAACAACAGTTTGTTCCTCTTTTCAAAAAAAAAAAAAACAACAAACACCGAAAAACTGTAGCTAGAAACCTTTAGTTCCCTTTCATAATGACTATTACTACAGACAGTTATTTCTTTTAAGGAGTGAAGTCTTGACGTAGACACAACAATTTAGCTGTTGAGAGTCAGAGTAGTTCAAAGTAAATTTTGACAGAATATTAATACACGCATTTTCAATTCCTTAAAATTCTCAGGGACTCACTGAATTAGAAAGTCTACACTGCCACTAACTGCTGATATCCTACACCCCTTCATCTCTGAGTACTGATCCCATGTGTGGAAAAGCAACTTAACTGTTAACTGACATAGCTATACAATTTTTTAATAGTTTTACTGCTTTTCAGGTCCAAAATTAAGTTGTAGCTATTGCTGAAAGTGGAAGGCTTGTCCTCCCTTTGCTTGAAGCCATTTAGAGTCTGCTCTTATGCTATATGTAATTGCATAGTTAATGAAACTGAGGAACTGATCCTTCTGAAAACTAGAGTCAACAAAACCATACTAGTTTAGGGTGGGTCAGCAAAGGTAAATATATCAAGGAAAAAAAAAAAAGTTACTTTGTTACACCAGGTCTTGGGTGTATTTCATTAGAGGGGTAAGTAATTGGCTAAATCTGATGGTGCAGTTGCACTTTTTCAAAAAAAAAAAAAAAAAAAAATTCTTTCAGTTGAATCACTTATTTGACCAATGTCATTCCATAAAATAGGCAGGTAGGTGTAAATCTTCAGATGTGACCCAAAGTATCACAAACACCTTACCTGAATCTTTGTGTGCACATATACACTCCCTTCTTGAACATCACTCTGGCTTGGGAATTAATAGCAAGCCTCCAATTTAACACATTTATGCAAAGTAATGTTGGCAAACACAGTTATAATAGCTGAGATAAACCCTCTTTACCCTAACTTATTTACTACCCAACATACAACATATACTTTAGATTAAAAGATCCAGGCAAGATGAAAATAGCATGATGCTCTGGTTTCCGGTATCTAACTAGTAAAAACTTGGATAAAAATAGTTCCTTTCAAGATTTGTAGCTTTCAAAAGCTTTCTGAAAAGGAAAGTTTCTATTAACTTCCTAATAAAGAGTTCTTCCAAATCAGTCTTTCTGTAAGAAAACCATAAAGTTTCTTCTGGCTGATGACACAAGAAAAATTTAGAAAGAAACTCTGTGGTATTTTCTGATGGACTCAGTTCTTGCTGAACACGAAATGTTATCTAGAAAAGCTATAACTGACATATTAATTAATATTGAGGGAAGCACTAAACACTTCTAAGTTGACACACAGGACATCCATCAGCTGAGAACTTGTCTTCAGCTCCAATTCCCACAGTATGTTACCAGTCTCTGCATACTAGCAGGAATACTGTCAGCATACCAGCAGATCACTCCTTACGGTAGATGTGAATACATGGGGACAGCTTCACTCCCTAAAGGGACTGTAACTTAATATGAGCTAAACAGAAATAGAATTACAGTGATGAAACTGGATCTTGATCAATGCAATTAGTTTTATTAAGACTCTCTGCTGGCGCTTTTATGCCAATCAGTCAAAAACATTTAGCAGTTTCAACTTGTCTTCTTACTGAAATCTTCAGTGCAGGTATGACCTTACTCACCAGCACCTTTGTTTCTCTGAACAGCAGTTTTAAACCAACCTCACTACAGCAGCAACAAGCTACTACACTTAAATTTCATGCCTTATTTTCATTCAATCATTAAGTACAGAAATTAGCATATTTCCAATACCTATCCTGAATTTCTAGGTGGAAAGAGGGGAGTGACAGTATAAACCATTCTTTCAGACAGTTCCTTGTCCCTGCAGATGGTGAGGTAGTACATAAGCCAAGATCTTCTTGACTTGTTTAGAACTGTGTTAGTTGATATAACATCACCTTCAAAGGCATCTATCATAACTGACCTCTGTAACACATTCATTAGGAAGTGATTCTAAACCATGAATGCTCCCCCCTCTGCCAAATTTGTTCTAGTAAACAAACATCAGAGAGAGATCAAAACCACCTTTCACTAGGTATCTTGAAACCACTTTCAGGGTTTTGGTTCCTCATCTTAATATTTCTTTTCAGTTGAAATTAAAAAAAAAAAAAAAAAAAATCCTCTGAATCTGTATTACGTCAGTGTATGTTTCTCTGATTGACTGAAAACCTATTTAGGTTTTTTGATATTCTGACCCCTCACACCAAAGAAGGAAAAAAGAATTTTCCCATCTAGACCAAAATAATCATCTATGTACCAGAAATTCTGAGGCGTTCTCACAACAGCTATGTCACAGCTGTTTACTAAAGTCTTCATTATGGTTTGGCTTATACTTGAAGAAACGAAGATGACTAATGCATCAAATGTTTTGCATTTATGACTACTTCAACAGGTATTATAAATACATATTGAAGATGCTATGGAAAAGACACAATGTCATACACAGGACACTTGCTACTCACTGAAAAGCATGACCTACACATTAGTTTACATCAACAGAATCATTAATTACTCAGCTTTGCTTGAAACTTGCTTTTTCTTTTCAAAAGAAAAAGTTTATTCTTAAAAACTTATAATTGAAATTCTCTGAAGTGCCTCAATTTTTAATAAATCAATACAGTTTCCAATTAATGTAGAAAATATTTTCATTATTTGATTACTTAAGAATCATGTATAGTTCTGAAATTAGAAAAGAAAAGAAAGAAATAGTGTTTTTAAAGGAGTGAAAACAGGCAAAGGGATTTTAAACAGCTCCTGTCTAAGGCTTATTTTATTATAATCAAACATCAATTATAAGAATCAGGTTTTTTTGGTACTTAGTATTTAAATATTTAGAAATATAGTCTCATCATGCCATCTCAATATGAAAAGTACTTCCCAACTACCAACTAGCAAGTGTAATTTTTTCAGATACTACCTGTAGTCTAGGTCTACACTGCTACAGGAGCCCCAGACTTTTGTACTCGATTTTATTATTTTTAAGGACTCAATTTAAAAAAAAGTCTACTATCTGAATAAATTAATTTCAGTTATTATTAAGTAACTGCAAGACACCACTCTTCAGAATAGAAACTTCTCATACAGAATTACAAGATTAATCGAAGATTAAAAGTAGACTACAAAATACTTTAGAGAAGTTAGAATCCAAAATATAGTATTAAAATGGACTAATACAGAAGCAATGAAAGAAACATGAACAAGTGGCCAATTTATTCAAAGTTAATTCCACTTAAAAGGAATCCACCTAAGTTCCACATAAAAAAGAATCTGAGCATCTCAACTATGAGGGAAGGCTGCAAGAGCTGGGACTGTTCCGCCTGGGAAGGCCGAGCCAGGCTCCCTTCAGTGGTGCCCAGTGACAGGAGAAGAGGCAATGGGCACAAAGTGAAAAACAGAAGAGTCTGTCTAAAGATCAGGAAACACTTTTTTTACTGTGAAGGTGACCGAGTACCAGCACAGGTTGCCCAGGGTGGCTGTGGAGTCTCCATCCTTGGAAGTATACAAAAGCTGTCTGGACCTGGCTCTGGGCAACCTGCTTTAGGTAACCCTGCTTGAGCAGGGGGGTTGGACCAGATGACCTCCAGAGGTCCTTTCCAACCACAATTGTTCTGGGAATTATTAATCAGGTTTTTTTTTCATAAAAAAGTAAGAAAAGAAATACCCACAAAAATTACAGATCAAATAATTAGAAAGCAGTGTCAACTATGGTATTTTTATGACTGTATCAATTAATGGCTTCATCAGCAAAACAGCAATGCAATCCAAAGAAAAATAATAGTTAAGCTTTGGGGGGGGGGGGGGGAGGGAGGGAAATCACAACTTAATACAAGTAAATGATTATAAAATGCATTAAATTCTAGAGGCTATTTTACAGGAACAACTCCACTGGAAGTCAAACACCTGGAGAATGAAAAGAACACAGCCAACTATTTTTTCAGTTCAATTAAAAAAAGTAACTGAGATGCAGTAAGAATGATGCTTCACAACATTTCAAGGTCTACGCACAAGGATCCATACACAGATTTCAGAAAAAAAAGTTTTAATTATTTTCAAAGACACTCAGTGACTTGAAACCAAAACGGTAAAAGACCTCCCAAAATTTCTAATGTCACTGAAGAGCTGTTTATATTACAAAAATGGAAAGCTTTCTGAATTGGATACACATCTGGAGTGACTTCTTCTGGTTTTCCGCAGTTCTGACTGGTAAATGTGTACAACTTTAACCAACCTAGACGTACTTTGGCTAGGATGAGTTTTACTTGAACAAAATATCAACATAAATTTATGCTCGTCTACCATCCCACTTAACTTTGTTAAAAGTGAAAATGAAAGCTGAAACAGGTCTTTGAACTTCAACCACTCACTCTTTGTTCTGTTACTCCTCAGTGATGTGGGCAATACGGAACTGAATACAAAAACTATAAACAAGCATGTCTAACCTTTACTCTGTAAAAATGTCTGGTTTTCTCAGCTATAAGCAAAGACAACATTTGCTTTACATCTTTTGATAAGTTTAAAATAAAATTTATTTTTTGTCTTACTAACTCATAGCACACTGGGGAATGAGTTCCAAAAAATCACAATACTAGTCAAAGAACAAAGGTATTAGGATAGTTTTGGTGACAGTATTTTTGTAAAACATTTCAGCAAAACAAAATAAAAACCCATACAAATATTTTTTTTCCTATCTCACAAATTAAAAAGGATTAGATAATGCCCAATTTCTAATATAGGTCATATTACTTAAGAAGGAAAAGAATTTACTCAGTTCTGAATAAGTTTTCATGCCATGCTATGTTTCCTGGTTAATTTTTTTATTCTATAAAATAGATTTTTCTTTAAGTAAAAAGTGTGTCACATACCTGTTGTGTGTTTCTTTGTGACTGTAAACTGGACTGCAGCCTTCTCAACAGAGGAACACCATTCCTAGACAGTCTTTTAAGCAACCAGTAACTGTGCACTCGTTCAACAAACTGCTTCTTCCGCTGAATGGCCACCTGATTCATAATCTTATTTAATCTAAAATATGGAAAAACTGATATTGTATTTTTCACAGCAAAGCATAAAATGTATTGGTCTATGGAAGCTAAATATCATATATATATATAAATGTATAACATAACAACAGCAGTGATCACCAAACTCATTATTTCCTTCAACGATATCCCTTTAAGTAAAATCATTTCTGAGTGGTAGATTACAATCAAATACATCTGCTTGATATTGCAGTTTCTACCAAATACGTCAGGGTACTTTATAAAGCTAACGGGTATTAATTTATTTATGATCATTATCTCACGATCAATCCCCGATTAGGGTTGAGAATAAAGCTTTATGTGCATTTCAGAATAATTTTTTTTTTCCTATTGAAAATAAAATCAGAAATAAAGCTCTAAATCCCTACATAAGTTTTCAGGTCCTTTGTTGCCATCTTCACACAGAATTAGTAGTTTATTTTACAGGCAATATATCTCCAAACTTTTTACATAAAAACATGCAACAAATAGCTTGTATTACTCATCTACTAATATTAAATTTCAGTAAATCATGTGAACAAAAAATGTAAACCAGAAGAACACTTATGATTTTACCCCACAAATACAATGAAAATATCCACACTGAAAAGATGCAAGAGAGGATGACACAGTGAATCAAAATATCTTGATTAAATAAACAGTATTTTCTCCAAACTTGTTTTTTGAGATGTAATTACTGTTTACATATACTATATTTAGAAATACTCTAAGAAAGTGCTATAGGAACATCACACATAACAACCTTGACTCCTCTTTTTTAAATAATGACATGTTAAAATGTCCATGTCTCACACATTACACCAACTTCCCAAAACTTACATTCAAAGAGTTTATCTGAAACAAACCATCAAATCTGCATCTTGAAATCACAGAAAAAAAATGACAAAAAAAAAGTTAGTGGTTGTAGAATTAAACAGTTTTGGTTTTGTAAGATATTGCAAGGATTTGTAATTGGTGGCAGCCCTTGCAAAACTAACACAAGATGCCCCAAGTCACCAACCACCTGTATTCTTAGGGGATTGTTCATTCATTTGGAGCAGGGGTGAGAAGAAAAGGATTTCCCGGAGCTGGACATAAAACAGAGTTACAGAAAGGACAATATTAATAAACAGAAATCTGTTAATTCTTCACTCAATATATTACTACCCATAACAAAACTCTACAATGGGTAGTAATAAGTTTATCAGATTCTCCAGTAAAATTTAATACCAAAATAGACAAAATTAAATTCAATAAATGTCTGATTTATAGAGCACTACTATGAGGTGTTTAAATAAAAATCGTGGATGTATACACATATTAGTATTTTTCCATTTTTTCCCTTTTAATATTAGGAATAAATCAGTTTCTCATATGAGAGAAAAAAAGTAATCAAATATCTAAACAAAATGTAAAGCTATAAATAAATCTTGGGTAAAATGATTTTTAAGAATAGCTGGGAAACTTGAATGGTATTTTTCAGACAGACATACAGGTGAGTCTACCCAGAGTTCATCAAAGGTCATCTATTCCTGTTTTTTTCTGCAGAGGGTAAGGTGCAACAGGTCTACTCAGTCCTATGTTAACCAGCTACAGAGCTTTCAGTCATCACAGGGATGGCTCATCACAGGCAGAGCAAACACCAGTTTTCTTCAAAATACAGTGCCATTGTGTCCTTTGGTTCTTCAGTGATACCATTTTTCAATTAATAACTAAGCCAGTTAGACATTCTTGAAAAATTTTAGCTTAACTTAAAGTTTAGAAAGTCTGCCGATGGACTTAGGACTGTCTTACAAGTCTTTCACTGAAAGGCAGAGGCAGGTTCCACAAAGATTTACTCATTGCTGAACAGACCTTGATGTGACCATGTTAAATTTCAAGCACAACAGAATTACAATTAATTACTGAATTAAATCAAAATCAAGTAATTACTTTCCCATCTCTCCCTTGGAAACAGCAAAACCTACTGAACAGGGTCAAAAAAAGCACAGTCAAATATATACCTATTTGTAAACATCAGAGAATCACAACTTAACATGAAGAAAAGTACCTTGGCTTCATGCCCATCAGATGTGGCAAGACTATGCAAACATGCTTAATTACAGCTTTAAGTACATTCGCCAATTCACATAACAAACCATTCTATTCATACATAATAGTAAAGTGCTAAAATAAGCATAGCAAAGATGTTCACAGAGGGTATTCTCCAACTTCCAAAATACAAATAAACAGAAGGTAATTTGGAGTGCAGAAACTACCTAACAAGGCGCAGGAATTTACTCCTGTCTGCCTTCCCTCTAAATAAAACCAAATACTGGCTGCTCACATTTCATTTAGACACCAGACTTTGGTAGTGGTAATATATCACAAATCACCCCTTAATTTCTCAAAATAGAGAGGTCAGAGGTTCTTCGCATGGCGGATACCTACAGAACCTCTACTCTATGATCTTACTGATATAACAAGGACGTTATGTCTGCTGTTAGACCCTAAGAACCCCCTAACTATAGCACAGGTCTTTGATCATCCTTTGCTTAGTCAGATACTCCCAAGTAGACTTTTACTGTCCGAAACACTTAGACTTTTGACAGTCAACACAACTGTTTTAGCGAAGTAAGACACAATTTGTCTGCTGCTTCAGAACCCTAGAAGTAGCACCGACTGGGCATTGATTTTCAAGCTCCCACCCTTGACAGTGCTATCATATTGGAACAGAGGTTCTCACCCACATGCAGTGAAGCTGAACACAAGCATGAAATAAGGCACATAGGTATGACCAGTCTTGAACAAGTTCCTTTCTGCTACCTGAGCTTCAATTAAACTCGTAGATGTTGAAACTAAATTTTCAAACTAGAATTTCAGAACTCTTTGAGGTCTTAAAGGAGTTTGCTGCATATTCTATTTGCTACTTTTTTTTTTCCAACAGACATGCAATTAAAAAAAAAAAAAAATCGAATAGTAAAAAATACATATATTTATTTGAGTCAGGTAAGGGAGAGGTATTTGAAAGCATTATAGTTTTGCAATCCAGGATCTGACTTGCACAAGACAGGATTAACTGCTACACTACACTGACAAATCCCCCACGCAGAGCCAAAACTTACAGAACTCAGGTCACCTCCCACAACTGCACAAAACACCTCAGCAAAGGCTTTTTTTGCTAAGGTATCTGTCCATCCTAGAACTTTTTCCAAGTATACAAACATCAGGAAAGAACAGCTTTCTGTAGTGTTTTAATTTCTAAGGACAAGTCAAGCATAATATGTACTGGAAGAAGAAAAAAAAAAAAAAAAAATCAAGATACTTAGAATGCACATTAAACACAAGTGTATCAAATGAACCTGTGCTTTCTCTTCACAAAAAAATAAACCGATCTCATTACTTGGCAATTTTTTATATCTGCTAAGATTGCCAAATAAGTGCAAGATTACTACTGGAAACAGCTCACAAAGAAGAGAATGTAGGAACATACATTTGGAAGATACTACCAGAGTTAGTCTGCTCTATCACAACTGACTTTAGATGTGTCTGGGGAAAAAAAGCCACAACTACAGTGACTACAGAAAGCAAACAGGGAGGTAAGAAATGTTCTTGCTGTCCAGTTTTCACACGGAACAGAGAATCTGTTAGGACAAAATTCCCAAGGAGCATCCTGAAATGGACCATGTTAAGTGCTAGACTTTTCTCTCAGAACATTTCAGCAATTAACACAAGTTAAACCCCAAGTAGAACAGTTCTTACACTAACTTGCTGCAGCTTGAGCCACTGTTCTGAGGCCTTAAGTACAGCTCTGTGTGGCTCACAAGATGTTTTTCTCTCAACTTATCAGTTATTTAAAATAAAGAAAGTACATTGAAAGAGTTAGAAAATTCTTTAAAAAGTGGCTGTGTTCCCATTAAATTCAGTAGCTGCTGTTATATAACTGGTCCCATAAAAGCAGCACTGGGTTTCAAGCTGATGGCCACTGCAGCCTTTCAATGTTTTCACACCATCAGTCATACTCCCTCTTGTTTTTGTGTTGCCTTTTTTTTTCTTGGGGGGGGGGGGGGGGGGCTACATTGCAAGACTACACAGATGTCACAGCATTTTGCAAGTACTACTTCCCTTCCCCAGCCCCACTTGTATACAACTGTAACACACTGACAAGCACTACAAACATGATACACAGGTAACTGTACAATTCCCCGTTTGTCTTGAAAAAGGGAAAGATCCCTTTTCAACTGAATCTTTCAAATAGCACCTGCAGTTATCAGCCTGAAAACTTAGTTCAGGCTGAAGTGTAAATTATGGCATTAGAAATACGCTGCATTTACAAAGGTAACAGAAAGATGAGGAAAGGAAAAGGAAACTGGTTTATTTTGAAAGGGTAAGACAGACTCAAGTAATTTAATTTAAAATCAAAGTTAATATACAACAGCTTTACTGAGAACCTGTAATTTATCAGCTGCTCTACACTAAGCCTCTCCTCACTGATAATCTACCCTGCAAAGGGTGATACTCAATGCACTGGTAGAAGCATTCAGAGAAAGCTGAGTGTTGCTCAGTCCTGTGTTTCCTTATCTTTTAGATAAATGCATATAATAATTTTTGTCAACATAAGAGATGTGTTCTTGTCATATTAGCAATCTCACAGCTTCCTTCCTCCTCTTGACTGCCTTCCACTCCCACTTTCAGTTACATGTCACTGTGGCAACTACGGCAACTGGTTACAAGAAAAAATGAAAACCATTTTTGGTGACTAACTATGCGGCAGTTTAACATAAGAAAGCCAGTGAGAGATAATCAGTCACTTTTCTGTTAATCATCACTAACTGCTCCATAGACCATACACGCTTTTTAAGCCCACAGATATAATTTTAGTATTACAATATATGAAGAATTCTATAGCATCTCTCTATTGTCACGTTTTTTAAATATAAACTGGAGAGAAAATTCCCTTAAGCAGTATGTCATTTTGCCAGTATTACTATAGTAACTCAGGCAGAAGGAACATCATATGAAAAT